AAATAAACTTTTTTAAATACCACATCATCTATGCGGCATTTAGGAACAAATTACTTAACTTGAGATTTTCACACGTATTCTTAGAGTTTCATAATAGGTTTGAGTAAGGGCTTGGGTGGAGGTTTTAAAGGTTAGGGTTTTAAGGTTTTAAAGATTCGAAAATGCGTATCAAATTTGGGTCTTTACTTTTGGATTTTAGGGGTTTTTAGAAATTTGAATTTTTAGGCTTTGAATCTTTAAGGTTTGAGATTTTTAATTTTAGGGTTTTGAGGGTTTGGGGTTTCAATTTCAGGGTTTAAAGGTTTTAGAATTTAGTTTTAGGATATGAAAGTTTTGGGATTTTTAAATTTTAGGGGTTTGGATTTTAGAGTTTTAAATTTTAGAGATTTTTTATTTTAAGGTTTGGTTTTAATTTTAGGATTTTAAATCACGAATATCTCTAAAAATCCCCAACATCTAGGCAAACTTTTGGAGCAAATTCGATTTTTTATGATTGTTTTAAAAAAATAATTTAAAAATATATATAAATTTTCTTTTTATAAAAAAAAAACTGTTTAAAAAAATTTTTTTTATGAAAACTTATTATCAAAAATATTATTAACTTATTTAGTATTTTTTTATAATAATAATTCCCCAACATCTAGGTGAAATTATTATTTTTTTAAACATGATTTAATTCCCTCAAACATCTAGGCAAGGAATATAGAAATATCATTCTATTATTATTTTAAGCATTTTTAGTTTTTTTTTTTTAGTTATTATTATTATTAAAAATATTCAAATATTTATTTTAACAAAATAAAAAAAAATTATCATGCATGAATATATAAAAAAATGGTCAAAATAACCAAAATAATAATATATAAAAAATTCAAAAATTCAAAAAAAAAAACTTGAACTGGACCGGTCAATGCCGGTTCGGCTGGGTCCAAAATAGAGGATGCTCGATAAGCAGTTATGTTTGGCGGCCTATAGTTTGGTCCGACTCAAAATCGGTTCAATTGGACCGATCAACAGTTGTGAAAAGAACGGGTCAACGGGTCAGATTGCACGGATCTCGGGTCGGATTCGGGTCAACGAGCAAATCCTCATTGGCTTAAACGACATCGTTTTGGGTGATAACTTTCTATATAAAACCAAATTTTTTTTGTTCAACTCATTTTTCTTCTGTTCCAGAAAAAAAATTTCAGAGCTTTTAGGACAGCTCTTAGGTTCCGCCGGAATCCGACGTTGGATTGTTGCTCTAACCGCCGTCTGGGTCACCGTCAACAATCATCATCAGTGGTTGAAAATACCAAAAAACTTTCATAAGCTCCTTTCAATGAGATCTTTCTAGATCCGACGTTCGTTTTACCAGAAACAGTCCGATCGACGTAGATCAGGGCTTGAAGCTTTCTGTTTCCTTTCTTCTTCTTTTTAAGAAACTGACTTTTTATTTTTGGTTTATTTTGTAGGGCTTGTTCGGCGTTGATAGTTACTCACCGTATCGAGGACTGTGTTGTTTTTTTTCTCTTGTGTTTTGTTTTTGTTTTTTGTTTTTTGTTCTAGGTATGAATTTGGGGTTTCTGAGAGAGCTGGAGTTCTGGGTGTGTGGATTCTGATAGTGGCCAAATAAGTGCTCGGTCCGAGAGCTTCCAGAGATATTGAAAGGAAGGAGATCTGGTGCTTTATAAGGCCGGGATGGTGGTAACAGGTTGAGCGTGCACTTGGCAAGATATGAGTGGTAGTTCTGGACAATCAGAGCCGGTGACGTGTAGGGTATGGTGAGGGGACAGGCCAGGGGTGAGTGACCAGTGGTGCCGTGCAAACAGAACCCAAAAAGAAAAATTGCACGGTATCACTACCCTCCTAATTTTTCTTTTTGGGTTCTATTTCTTTTTTTTTTATTTTTTAATTAATTATTATGTTTTATAATAGTATCAAAAATATTAATAAATAAAAATTAATCTAATAGACTCAAATAAAATTCGGTGTCGATAGTCACCGAACTAATAAAAATCATTATTTACAAAGTTTTGGACGCGTTATCGTGGTAACCAATAACCTCCGTTTTAGAACTAAAAAACAAAGTATTCTGTAATAGTAAAAAAAAAACAAAAAACAAAAAGATTAATCGTTTTTCATCCTTTCTACAACATCGGTTAAATACAATGATTTTTGCGTCAAATCTCATGGTATTAGTCTTAAATCTATTGTCATCTGTGTCAAACTTTACTCAAGTTTTTCGAGAAATAAAGAAAAAAAACTTGAAAATAAAGTGAAATAAGAAAAAAACGATGGTGAAAAATATTTTATTTTATTGGATTTTGTGTAATAATATTAAAAAGTGAGAATAAATTTGAGAATTTAAATATATTTGTTGTTTATTTTGAATAAGAGATAAATAAATTGAAATTTTTTAAGAAAAAAAAGATAAAACAAAGAAAATGAAACAAAGAGAATAGAATATAACGTGAAAAAGACAACTATGACACACATAAAAAGAGAGAATATAATGTAATAGGGCCTTCCCATAGACCCAATCAGCCACCCCTTTAAGTATGTCGTGTTGATAAAAAATTCGAATTTTAACCAAAAAGAGAAAAAAATAAATTTTATATTGTGGGGATAAAATGTATATAATTTATATTTTTTCATTAAATACGGGGACAAAAAAATAATAATATGGTATTTACCTTGTACCAACATCTTATATATATATATATAATAAATAGATTTTATTAAATAATAAAAATTTTCTTCAGCCCAATGGTTGGTGGCTACAAAGGTTTGACAATTTTTTGGGTTCAGAACTCAATTTTGAAATTTCTCCGATCCTCTGCAGCCCACAGCCAGCAATAATAAGTATATGGTATTATAGAAAAAGTGCTTCTAAAAAAAAAATCACACTCCAGTGATTTGTTTGAAGAGTATTAATTTTTTTAATTTAAAATTTTCTAAATTTTTAATAACTGGATCCCTACTCCCTAAATTAAGACAGTTTCGAATAAAAAAAAAAGCATAGATATTGATATCCAAGGCATTTGCTTAATATTTCACCTTTTAAAATATATGCAAAAAAAAAATTAAGACTGGTCCATACTTACTTTTTGCTTCGTATTTCGGTCACACAGTAATTGGAATACGGATGCAACAAAGTCAACGGTCTCGTTGGTTTAGGAAAATCCACATCTAGATGCATTGAAATTAGTAATTAGAATTGTTAATTTATTATTTTTTAATTATATATTTAGTTTCACAACCAAAATTTTCAATATTTTTTAATTATTAAAAAAAAAAAAAAAACAAGTAAACACCAAATACTATAAAGGACCCGTCGAAACCTTATGTTTTGGTCAGCTTCAAAATGATATATTAATACTAATAATATCAAGAATAAAAAATATAAAAAAAAAATTAAAAAATCAAATCTAACACAGCAGAGTTAAACAGATAGCGACCGTATTTATTTTGTAAAAATAAGTAGCACAAATGATAATAATTCAATTATATTGAATTCGATTATTTGAACTGATACATAATATCTTAAAATTTTAAAATTAAAAAGAAAATTGCTAAAGAAAGGAAAAATCATGTTCATAGTTTGAAATTTGAATTAGTTTCTTTCAACCAAACACCATTACTTGGGAACAACGCAAGCTGACTAATAATAAGAGCAAAGAAAGTAAAAATTAGCACAAATGGTCTTGCTGACCTGCCATCAAACACTTTTATAGTCATGACATCTTAACCGCTCACCTGCTTAACAAACTCAATGCAAACCATTAGATTCAAATACTAGCGTGCTAGCGCCTTATCTTGGAATAAGAAAAATTCATCGTAATTAAAAAAATGTTGATAGTATAAGATATTTGATAGGGGCCCCTCTTTGTAATTTTATTTTGATAAATTTTAACCAATTAAAATTTAAATTAGATGTTCATATTTTTTAACTGCTTTGTAGGCTGTTCACTGGTATATGCTTTGCAATTGGTGGAAAAGATTTTCCAAAGGAGTGGAAGCCTGACTTTTAAAAGCCAATAATTATCTTATGCTGATACTTTATTCAACTAATTAATAGAGAGGAACGTGAATCACGTCTTAAAAGTTAGATTTGATAACCTCAAACATGAATTAAAATTTATACGAAATAAAAAATTTAAAAATAATATAATTTAAAATTTTAATAAAATTTATAAATAAATTTAATAAAATAAAAATTATGTATTTCATATTTTTATGTTTACATAAATTATAATATAATTTTTATGTAAAATATTATATAAACATATAATTATTAATATTTTATATAATACGAATATATGAATTAATAAATCTATTAAAAACTTTTAAATAATTTATCTAGCGCAGACTATCATTTTTTTTCCTGTTCATATTTATACGTATAAATAAGATATTCATTTTTATATATTTGTACAATATTTGAAAAGTTTTAGAGTAAAAAGTATACATCATTCCGGACCTTTGATTCCTATATTGTTTTGATTCTTAACTTTTAAAATGTAACTTGTTCGTCACATAAACGTGTAATGTTTTAGTCCTTACCACCTTAATTTCGACGCTAGGACGTAATGTTAGTTAGCATGTACGAATTAAATGGTGTGATATTTTTCAAATATAAAATTGTACTAATTAAATATATTAAATTTTGAAAAAAAAAATCCCAATCTTTTTTTTTATTTTTTAAAGGTTTTTATTCCTTTATTCCTTCTTCTTTTTTTGTTCCTCTCACATTCTGTCTTCCTCACAAAAAAAAAAAAACCCAAAAGTTTTAATCTGTCTCCATGGGAGCCACTATTATTGGAGCAACAAAAATTTCAATCCCTGCTCGATAGTGTGAAACAGAGCAACATATCAACCTGACTGTTAAAACTGCACACTTTCGAATCGCAGAGAAACCATCCAAATTTCCACGCAAAATCCTCTATTGAAAGCCTCTTAAATCCTGTGGTAATAAAAAAGGCTTGTCAGCTAATCAACGTTCTTCTTCAAGCCCGAAAATGGCTCTCCTAACATTTCTCTTTTTCCTCTGCGTTTCACTTTTTCTTCATAAACCAACAACTGCTGAAACTTGCTCAACTTCATGCCGTGGTGGCGGACCCGAAGTCAAGTTTCCTTTCGGGCTGAACGCCGATGGCAACCGAAATGATCATTGCAGCTACCCAGGTTTTGGTCTTTCCTGCAGCAACAGAACGGGAGAACTAGTCCTTAATCTCCCTGAATCCGGAGAATTCTTAGTCAGACACATCGATTACGAGACCCAACATATATGGATCAACTACCCTGATATCTGCCTCCCTAAACGATTCTTGCAGTCTTTCAATTTATCGGGGACTCCTTTTGACTCGAAATTCTCGTATATCGTCACGTTCTTCAATTGCTCTGCTAGCGAAGTAGCTAGGATTGGGTTAAGGCCAATTCCATGCCTTAGCAATCAGAATTATTCTGTCGTGGCTTCCCAGACAGACTTTTCTTTGGACTCTACTTCCAATAATTTACGGTCTAGATGTCATCCTATAAGGACCGTTACAATTCCATTTGTTTGGTATGACTGGTGGAGCGGGGTCCGGTTAGAATGGTACAATCCCGATTGTAGGTCATGTGTAGAACGTCGAGGGGATTGTCGATTCAAGAATAGTACTAGTCAGGCGATTGGGTGCTTCAATCTGCCAAGCCAAGGTATACTAATACTTGCTACGACATGCTTCGTGTTCTGTTCCGAACGATGGTCTTTAAAATTTAAATCACTTTATTTGCGTTTATATTAAGATTAACTTCATGAATTCGAGTAATGATATATAATTTGGATCCAAAGTCATGAAATCATGCAAATTTTACTTGGTTCTTTCTTGTATCTGAAGCTTTCGAGTAAATTTAAAATGGAAAAGATGAACACTGTATGATTGATCAAAGTCAAAACGTTGCTGTTGGTATTTTAAATTGCAGAAATGTCATCAATAATCACGTAATGAAAACTCCTTAGAAAAAACTGAAATGCTTCATTTAATCTGTTGTTAAAACGTCACAGTCCCTTGGTCAATAGTTTGAAACAGAGAGATTAACTAGAGATTGAATTTTCTTTTTCCCACTAAAATTAATGTCAATAGCAGGTCGTCTTCCTAAGAGTGCCAGATATGGAATTATCATAGGCATTGGAATTCCGGGAATCCTGTGCCTAATTGGGCTTGCTTTGTTCGTTGGTAGCCGAGTGAGAACTTATGGACGTCGGCGCAACCTCCCCAGCATTGAATTTTCCACATCAGTCTCCCTTTCACCGGCTGTTATCATAAGAGGACTTGATGGACCAACTATTGAATCCTACCCAAAGACTAAGCTTGGTGACAGCGGGCGTCTTCCCAAGGCTAACGACAACACTTGCCCCATATGCTTATCAGAGTATCAGCCTAGGGAGACATTAAGGACTATACCAAAGTGTAGCCATTACTTCCATGCCAATTGCATAGATGAGTGGCTAAAGGTGAATGCTTCGTGCCCTTTGTGTCGTAATTCACCTGGCGGATCTGCTGCAATTACTCCAACTATATCTTCCTCTTCATCATCATCATCATCTTCTCTCTTATCACCATAGATTTATGCCATTTATCAGCTCCTGTGTGTATATTGTATCCCTGAGGATGTGAGTTTCGAGAAGTTCTTGCTCTGTGACTAATGAATTTTCGTTATGAGTTGGAAAACAAACATGTTGCCCTTCCAATTTCTGTTTGTGAATTGTGATGGGTTATTTAATAGATAATTAGAAATAATGCACCTAAGACCTCCTAATTTCTCATTTCAGAACATTAATTGGCATATTAACACCAAAGCTTAGAAAATAGCAGATTGCGGAAATCAGGATATTAGCTTCCCTTTCCAGCTGATAAATCAACCCTCCGAGTGCTGCTGTGCTTATCCGGGCACCTTCAATCTCATGCAATAACCAGAACCAAACAGTCATCACATTTCCATCTTCCGGTGATTTCAGCATTCAAATGCTGGACTATTATGGACAACATATCGGGTAGGCGATCCAGCTGGTTGCCTTGCAAAACGTCTCCTGGAGGAATTTGATCCCTCTGTTAGTCCTTTCGAGCAACGTTACCTTCAAAACTTCACTCTTCTCAATTGCAACTTTACCTTCAAAATAATTCTCTTCTGGCTATAACCGTGGATATATCGCCCTGATCTGTTCACGAATGTCTTATTGATCGTAAATGGTTAACATGGAAAGAACCAGATTGTAAAAGGTGTTTAAGAATGCCGGTAAAGAAAGATACAGGCTTGGTCGTTGGATGCTCTGTAGTTATGGACCAATCAGCAAAGCCTTACAAAACAAATATTTTAAATAAAAAAAGGGAAAAAGTGAAATGTGACTAGCATATTTCAGTAGAAAATTCCTTTTATTTTTTTTAAAATTTTTATCCTAGAGACTAAAGATGATTTTACAGATTATTCGAACATGACAAGGAAATAGAAGGGGATGATGAAATAGTACTAGAATGAACACTGAACAAAGCCAAATTATTACCAGGGTCTTTGTCTAACGAAGTTTCTTAACAATAGTTTCAGACCTTTTTTTTTTAATATTTATTTTGGTGGTCAAACTACTTTATGTTTTCAGATGTCTAATATTAATTGTAAGTTGTCCAAACATTTTTCAATTATAAGTAATTATAATTACTTAATTTGAACATCTTAATGCTTTCAATATTTGCTAGACAATTTTAATTCTTTGAAGCTTTTTTTTATTATTGTCATGAAGCTCATATTTATCTATATAGTACGTGTATATGTATCACTAATGTTTTACTTTATTTAATTTTTTTTAATTTTTAATCTATCAATTGAACTTTTTATCTTTATTTTATTTAATTGAAAAAAATATTACATACATAAATTATTTTGAACTCGCAATATCAAAACATTAATTTTAAATATCATATCAATTGATCCAAAAATCAAAATGCAATATTTTACTTTACTTATTTAAGCAATTTATTTCTAGTAGATATTGTGAAAAAAAATAAAATCTTATATATGTAACGCTGGCACTCCTTTTGTGCCACGAAACCCAGAAGGCTGCATTTTTTCCAACTGTCCCTCTAATGTATTAATAGACTATCCTGCAATGCGTTCATCTTGCCTTAGTGGCACAAACTTTTCGGTTTGGACTATACCCACAATTGTTTACAATCAGTCGAATCCAGATTTCGGTCCCCCTTGCGACTCAAAATTTGCCAGAGCACTATGTGGATAATATATATTCCGTTAACATGGGAAAACCCCGACAGCTTAATTTGAATTTTTTAGGTCTTTGAAGCGGCACCAAATATGCCTGAAATTTCATCCTGGAAACACACATCTTCTTATTTTGGTGTGTGTTTTTATCACAATGTCAGAGTCCATTATCATGATCAGTGCCACCAATCCAATGTCGAAATATTCACATTGGCTGCAGAGCTTCGATTAGCTGCTAGAGTAGTAAATGGTTTTGATGAACCAAGGATTGAAGCCTATCCAATTAGTTAGCTGCCAGCTTCCAAGGCCTAAGAATAATACTTATTCAATATGTCTATCAGAATATACCAAGCCGAAGAGACTAAAAGAACCATACCTGATTGTGATCACTACTTTCATGCTGATGGCTTAAATTAAAATGCTGCATGCCCTGTCTGTTGCAATACGCCAGATCAAGAATCTGCTTTGATCACTCATTCTACATTATCCTCTTCATAATCACCACCACTGTAAATGATTAATTGTAGAAATATTTGTATTTTTTTGGGTACATATGTTTGCATTATACGTAGTATATATCAATCTGCTAGTAAAAGATCGAGCCTTACTGCCACCATTTAATCATGATCGCTCATTAATTGAGAGTGCAAGTTTAGTATGCATGCTTTTTAATGCTTTAAGCTCTACAAAAATTTTCAAAACAAATATGATCCATTACCTCCATTGAATCATTTTAAATGGATACCAGGAAAGCTTCGAAGATATCATATATATATATATATATATATATATATATTTGCCTTCCAAGTATTCATAAAATGACATCTTTGAACTGTTCTTTACGTCTTAAATATGTCTCGTTTTCTTTGGATGATATAATAAACTATAAAATTCTTTAATTTTTCTTTTTGTATTTACTAGTCATGAAAGCTTTTAAAGCAAACAAATTTTAGCTTTAAAATAGCTCCAAATGGCTCTCTTTGAAATCTTCTTCTTCATCGTCTTCTCCTTCCTTTTACTCTATCTTCCACCATCAACAAGCTCTGAAATTCGCCGTGTTTCATGTGGGGATCAATCGGTTCGCTTTCCTTTCCGTCTTAGCAACTAACCTGATCGCTGTGGCTATCCCCACTTTAATCTCTCATGCAGAAATCAGACTCAAACAATCATCACCCTTCCATTTGCCGGTGAATTCAGGGTCGAAGACATAGACTATTCGCGTCAAACTATATGGATCGATTATCCTGCTTATTGCACCCCAAGACGTCTCCTTAAGGGTCTTAATCTCTACGGTACTCCTTTTGAGCCTCTAAACCCTCAAAACTACATGTTTTTAAATTGCTCACTTGGTACATCAACAGGACTGCCTGAAGTAACGTACATTTCTTGTCTTAGCGGCGAAACTTTCTCTGTAGTGACCATTCCGGCTGAGCGTCTTGATATGTATCCATCCTTATCATTGTCGTGTTTGAAGATAGCTATGGTTTCAGCTCCAACTTCGAACCTTAACTATGGTATGAGATTGACATGGAATGAACCCGATTGTATGTCCTGCGAAAGTAGAGCAGGGAGTTGCATGTTCAAGAGTGATACGGGTCTGCATATCGGATGCTACGGTGGCTTCAGCACTGGTATGCTCTTTGTTTTTTTTTTTTTCCCTAAGTAATTAGCAATGTATATATTCTATAATACTCTAATAAATACGTAAAAATTCTTCTTTGATCCTTTCTGTTAATAATTTCCTCAAAGTCAGTTTTACAAGCTCCTAGTTATGTTTCATTATTGGTCTATATATATTATTTTTTATTTTTGAAAATCTCTTTAAGATTATGAACAAAATTTACATGAAATTTTTTAGGTGAAATTTGTAAAGTTTCATCTTAAAAATGATTTAATAAAAATTTTAATAAAAAACCTAAACCGATCGATTGATCAAATTTAATATGAAGATCAATAATATGTAAAAAAATTATTAAAAATATTATTTATAATTTAAATTTGATTGTTATTTATTTAACAACAAAAATTCTTTTATCATTTTTACAAAAAATATCTATCTAAAAATATATATCAAAATTTATTAAAAATTTTTAAATTTACATACTTAATCTATATAATAAAAATTTTCAAATTATAAATTTTAATTTTTAATTTTATTTAATTATTCTAATAAAAAATTTCATAAAGTTTATTTTAAAAATTTCATCTAAGTCTTTTTTTTAAATTATACTGAGAGTCAAATGTTCAAATGAAAAATACCCTCAGCAATTATAGACTATTTTAAGTTCGAATTATAAAATATGAAAAATACGCGCTATAACAAACACACGTAAAAGGATTGAATATAATACGAAAAGACTAGTATTACACTCACATAAAAAGAGTATATAATGATAAGACCTTCCTCTAAACCCAATTAGCCATCCATTTAATGATGTCGTATTTCATAAAAAATTTTATTTTTACCCAAATAAAAATAAAAATATATATTATATTATGAGATAAAAATATGTATGATTTAAATTTTTTTATTTAATATAAAGATTGAGATAAATAATATAATATCTGTCTTGTATTCATTATATATAATATATATTAAATAATATAAATTTTCTTCAGCCTAATGGTTAGTCAGCTAAAAAGGTTTGACAATTTTTTGGGTTCAGAACTCAAATTTGAAATTTCTCCGATCCTTTTTAGCCCATAGCCAGCAATATGTATATGGTATTATAGAAAAAATGCTTCTAAAATATTTTTAGTGAATTTAAAAAATAATATTTTATTTCACTCATATTATTAATTTTTTGCCTAATTGTATTCTTAAGGAATTACTTTTTTAATATTTTAAATATTAAATAAAATTAAAATATGTATTAAAATAAAATTTTAATTTACTTTTAAATAATATCTCCAATGATATTTTTTATTTTCACTTCACTATTGCTATTATTTCTATATCCAATTATTTATTTTATCATTATACTAACTAATTTTATTATTATCATTATTTTTAATTTCATCAAAATTAATTTTATCATATACCAAAATAAACTTTAAACTGTTCTGCTGCATCTACTCTGACCTGAGGTCTGGTCAAAAACTGGTCTATACTTACTTTTTACATCGTATTTCGGTCACGCAATAATTGGAACGGTCTTGTTGGTTTAAAAAAAATCCAATGCTTTGAAATTAGTAATTATAATTATTAATTTATTATTTTTTAATTATAAATTTATTTCAGAGCCAAAATTTTCAACATTTTTTAAATATAAAAAAATAAACAAGTAAACAACAAATACTATAACGTACCCATCGAAACCTTATGTTTTGGTCAGCTTCAAAGTGTTATATTAATACTAGTAATATCAAGAATGAAAAATACAAAAAAAAAAAAAACTTAAAAAGTCAAATCTAACACAGCAGAATTAAACCGATAGCGACCGTATTTATTTTGTGAAAATAAGTAGTACAAATGATAATAATTTAATTATATTGA